CCATGCAGAACCTTTGAGGACGTCCAGGCCAAAACTTTGGCCTTCATCAGGCTTGAGGAAGACCAACAGACACGACATCGGCAGGATGCATATGACGGAGGGCAGCGCAAATCTGGCACATCCAGAAAGCATGATTACAGGACCGGAAAACCCTATGCCAGAACTGAAGAGAGGCCGGTATCGTCAATAGCAAGCTGGCTTGACGATCCAGATCTTCCCCTAGTCATCACTGACTACTGCTTTAATGTTACTACTCCGGGCCTCATTCATTCTTTGGAGAAGCTGGGAGAGAAGGTCAGATGGCCTCGAAAGAGTGACAAACCAGCAGGCCGTCGTGACCCAAGTAAGCGCTGTGATTTCCACAACGACATCGGGCACAACACGGAAGACTGTGTCGCATTGAGAAAGGAGGTGGCATATCTGCTGAAAAATGGATATCTGACGGAAATCATGTCTGAACGCACAAAATCGCTTCTAGGACGGAATGATAAAGCGTCACCAAATGAGTCTCGACCCCCTTCACCTTCTGCCCCATGTAAGGTAATCAAATTTATTAATGGTGGATCTAATTTATGTGGGCTAACGTATTCTGCAGCAAAGAGACACGCTCGGGATTATTCCTGAGACAAGTCGTTGCAAGTCTACAGGATCGAGAAACGTCAAGAAGAATGGAGAAATGCATCAATCACCTTTGACGAGACAGATATTTCTGACCCGGCACAATCTCATCACGATACGTTGGTCATCTCCCTCAGAGTGGCGAATTGCGAAGTCAAACGAGTCCTCATAGACAATGGAAGCACCGCAAATACTACCACAATGAAAATGTTGAGAGAACTGGGAGTCAAGGAGGAGGAGGTGACGGGATCCGGGTCAAGTCTAGTCGTATTCAACGGGGAGCCAAGCCAAACTCTAGGTAATATATCTTTACCCGTATATGCCCATGGTTTAAATGTGCAGGTCAAGTTCGATGTGGTCGAAAGCCTGCCAGCCTACAACATGATCTTGGGAACTCCATGGCTGCATCAAATGGGAGCAATTCCGTCAACTTATCATCAAGTAGTCAAGTTCGCAACGCCATGGGGAGTGCAAAGCATCAGGGGAGATCAGAAGTCAGCCAAGTCCTGCTACCAAACAGCAATGAGGCCAACTGCAGATCAGACTACTTCCAAGACCGCATAGCAATTAAAAGGTGGCCCTTCTCTGGTGGAAGATGACGCCAAAACACAAGAAGTCGCCATCGACCCCGAATATCCAGAAAGGGTCGTCCACATCGGGAAAGACATACAAACACATCTCAGAGACGAACTGATAAACTTCCTCAAAGAACAAAAAGACGTGTTTGCATGGAGCCACGATGACATGACAGGTATTGATCCTAATATCATAACTCACAGGTTAAACGTCGGCCCATCACACAAACCCATCAGACAGAGAAGAAGACGCTTCGCCAAAGAAAGGAATGCCATTATAAACCAAGAAGTCGATACGCTACTTCGGACCCGCAAGGTAAAGGAGGTAAAACATCCTGATTGGTTAGATAATGTTGTTGTTGTTCAGAAAAAGAAAGGGCATAAGGAGGGCAAACCGATCAAATGGAGAGTCTGTGTGGGTTTCACTGATCTAAACAAAGCATGTCCCAAAGACTCATTTCCGATGCCACATATTGACGCATTAGCTGACGCTACGGCTAGGCACGAAATGCTATCCTTCATGGACGCTTTCAGTGGTTATCATCAAATACAACTGTACCCCGATGACCAAGAAAAAAACAGCCTTCATCACGGGGACATGTACGTATTGTTATGTTGTTATGCCTTTTGGACTAAAAAATGCAGGTGCGACGTTTCAGAGGCTGGTCACTTTGATGTTCAAAGATCTGATGGGGGATACTATGGAAGTTTATATTGACGACATGATCATCAAATCAAAGAAAAAAGAAGATCATGTCTATCAACTGACGGAACCTTTCAGAAGACTGAGGAAATACAATCTGAAGATCAATCCGGCAAAATGTACTTTCGGGGTGACATTAGGAGAGTTTTTGGGATATATCGTCAGTGAACGAGGAATAGAGGCAAGTCCGGAGCAAATACGAGAAATTATTGACATTGAATCTCCAAAATCCGTCAAAGATGTCCAGAGGTTGACGAGACGAGTTGCGGCTCTGAATCGCTTCATTTCGAAATCGTCAGACAGGTGCCATTTGTTTTATGATGTTTTGAGAAAGAACAAAAAATTCGCATGGACAGATCAGCATGAGCAGGCGCTTCAGCAATTAAAAGAATACATGATGTCGCCACCATTGCTTGCAAAACCCAAAGACGACGACGAATTGCAGCAGTATCTAGCCGTTTCAGAGCACGCCGTCAGTGCAGTATTGACGAAAGAGGAACAGGGGCAGCAAACTCCGGTCTATTATGTAAGTAAATCCTTAAATGGCCCCGAATCCAGGTACGCCTTACTCGAAAAATTAGTTTTGGCTCTAGTCATTGCTTCAATTAAATTGCGCCCTCATTTTGAATCACATACCATTTGTGTTAGAACTAATTATCCCATGAAGTCAATCATGAGGAAACCAGAGTTGACAGGTCGCATGGCTAAATGGTCGATTCAACTTGGAGCTTATGACATAAGATTTGAACCAAGAACTGCCCTGAAATCACAGTCACTTGCAGATTTTGTGGCGGATTTCAGTCCAAAACTCCAAGTTGAGGCAGAGCAGGAGACTTGGACTCTGATTGACGGATTGCCAAAGCAAAAATGGACGTTGCATACTGACGGAGCGTCGAACCAGAATGGTGCAGGCCTGGGCGTAGTCCTGAAGTCACCACAGGGGGACACCATGCTCCAAGCAGTACACTGTGATTTCACTGCTACAAACAATGAAGCGGAATACGAGGCACCAATCGTCGGACTCACATTGGCAAGGGACTTGGGCATCAAAGTCCTGGAGGTAAAATGCGACTCTCTATTGATAATTAATCAAACTAATGGTGTTTATGCAGCAAAGGACCCCAAGATGACATTCTACTTGCAAATTGTCTGGGAATTGATAACATCATTTGATGAGATAACCTTCGAGCAAGTCCCACATGAAGAAAACACACAAGCTGACGCTCTAGCCGCGGTCGGATCATGTCTGGGGGCAGAAATTAATCGCAACATCCCTTATGTGCACTTGACGAGTCCATCAATTTACAGATCAGAGGTTGTCTCTACCGTTGCAACCTCAACACAAGAAGATTGGACGCAACAGTACATAGCATATTTAAAGCACAATACTCTCCCGGAAGACAAAAAAGAGGCCAAGGCTTTCCTATCTAAGGTAAGTAAATTTCTGCCAATTGATGGCGTTTTATTTAAAAGATCTGTCGCAGGTCCGTATCAAAGATGTCTTACATCTCAAGAAACCGTCAAAGTGCTGAAAAACCTTCATGAAGGGGAATGTGGCAACCATGCGGCCGGGCGAAGTCTGTCTAACAAAGCTCTTAGATTCGGATACTACTGGCCAACCATGAGAGAAGACGCAGCCACCTTCACTCAAAGATGCAAGCCTTGTCAGATGCAAGGACCAATTCGTCATCAACCCTCTGAGTCGCTTCATCCAGTCCTATCCCCATGTCCCTTTATGAAATGGGGGATGGACATCGTAGGGAAATTGCCAGAAGCACCGGGGCAAAAAGTATACATGCTGGCAATGACGGATTGTTTTTTAAAATGGGTGGAGGCTGAGCCATTCCGTCAGGTACGAGATGACCAGGTAATTTCGTTTATAAAAAGAAACATACTTTGCAGGTTCGGCGTTCCGTCAGAAATCGTCTGCGACAACGGATCTTAGTTCATAAGCGCTAAGACCAGACGGTTCTGTGAGAGGTACAATATCAAGTTGGAAACGTCGACACCCAGGTACCCGTAATCCAATGGACAGGCTGAATCCAGCAACAAGATTATCATTGCCAACTTAAAGAAAAGACTCGAGAAAGCACAAGGCAAATGGGCTAACGAATTGCCCTTGATACTATGGGCGGACAGGACAACTCCAAAAAATGCAACCGGACAGACCCCATTCTCTCTGGTGTATGGCTGCGAAGCGGTAATTCCTGCTGAAATTGAAGTACCTTCTTCAAGATATGGGCTCATGACTGAAGAATTGAACAATGTGGAGTTGACGCATGACTTGGATACCATTGACGAGATCCGTTAATGAGCCAAGATTCGCTTGCAGACGTATCAACAGATGGTTGCAAAAAGCTATAACAAAAATGTCTGAGCGAAGGTGTTCAAGAAGGGAGACTAGGTCTTAAGGAGAGCATTTGGCAACGAAGCGGCTGGTAAGTTTAGTCCTAATTGGGAAGGGCCCTACAAGATCATTGACGTCGTTGGTCAGGGGGCATACCGCTTGGAATCAGTCGATGGTAAACGAATCCCCCGAAGTTGGAATGCGGTACACTTAAAACTTTTCCATTTTTAATTCATTTTTCGCACATCTGTTCTTATCGCAAAACGAAGTTACTAACTTGACCGTCGGAGGGCCGTTGGCTTAAGGCCAACGACCAACCCTAATAATGACTTTGATGCAGGAAGGCACACGAAATTGGCAAAGTCACAGGTAACAACAGTGCAGTAACTTTCACGTCATCTTTGATATAGCAAATACAATTCATCGTTTACTAACTTGACCGTCGAAGGGCCGTTGGCCTCAAGCCAACGGCCGACCTCAACAGTGCAGTATTATCGCAGGACTATGACGGGCTAAGGTCTAAACACAAGACGACGCAAACGCCAGAACAACAGGTAAAACGTCCGAACTTGCTCATGACGAAACGTCAGTGTTTAGGGTACATGGAGATCATCATGATAAAACCATGAATGAAGGTCCATAAAACCTAATACGTTTTGACCAAAACACAGACATATATATGACTGAACATACACATGGCATGTTGCACACATAAGCGACAAACACACATACACGACAGAACACGCATTAGCGAAAACAGGATTCAAGCAATAGCAAAAACTAGCGACAGAGTCACAAAACGACATGGACATGGCTTGGATAAACCATCAAGCACGAGATCCATGATTGCACAACGAAGCGTTAAGTCCCTGATAAACCACCAAGAAACCATAACGCAAGGAGAGTAATGTTAAAGTAACTTTCAAAAAGCAGAAAGTGTTTGGAGCCGAGCAAATAAAGAAGGAAAAACATGTTTAATTGTCACGGGAACGCTTGGATTCAGCTTCATCATCAGATTGGCCCACGTCAAAACCATCCTCTCCAATCGGGGGATCCATTTCTTTCTGAAGCTTCAGCTAGGTAGCAACATCTTGTTCCGCTGTCCAGTTTGACATCTCACCTGCGATGAATGAAGCCATCAGTTCGCCCCTAGTCTTCCAAGCGTAAAAACAAGCTACGTCAGTAACTTCTTGTTTCTTTTTCCTCCCATATGCCTCCAATAGCTTGATGCGGGCTTTCAGGGTCGAAATTTGATTCACCAAGGTCGAGTTGTCCCCGCGAAGATTTTGAATCGTTCGAGCATCAGCATCAGCGCGAACTTGAGAATTTTTCTCCTTCCCTTTTAATTCGTCCACAGTTTTTTCCAGTAAAACCAACCTTCCTGCAGCAACAAGGCTAGCTTGAACACTCTGCCAATATGAAAAAATTCTCGTTAGAAGGAAAATTAAATTTTTAGACAGATGCTGAACATTTACATAGTGATAAGATACCTGGAAAGCATAGGCCGATGAAGCCAACACTAGGCCAGCTGAAGAGATATCAGCGAACGCAGCAGATGAGGAGGGAAGCAGAATCTGAGGCATTTCACTTTTTATCATAAAAGTGTCCTTCAAACAGCAAAAGTCACGAGAAAAGGAGGCATTCATCTTCACACCAGAGTCAGAATTAGCAGCAGCATTCACCGGAAGGGAAGGAACAACTTTCGTTTCAATAGTCGGGCAATGCGGAGTTTTGGGAGAACCAGAGGCCAGCTTGGAAGGAACTTTTTTCTTTCTCGAAACCATATTAAGGAGTTCATAATCAGAAGGCATCAGCCGCGTGCTGGATGAAGAAGTAGCTGTGGCACCAAAAAAATTGTATGATGTGTTAAAATTCTAGGCAAAGCAATATTTGATGAGTAAATGAGGTAACAGAAACGAGTACCAGCATGTTGGGCAGAACGTTTCGTTGGGAGAGGGAAAGAGTCCTGAACAACGGGGAACACCATCTGGAGAGGAACGAAAGCACTCTCACTTTCACCGCCACCTCTTGAACCTTCTGATTCATGATCTGAATCGTCTACGGAGACCACACGCGAGCCTTGGGCATCGTTAGGGACATTCTGAATATTACGGCGAGAACGCCTTAATCCAACGGACCCAGAAGGGTCAGGAATGGGGGGCGTACCTTCGTTATCAGCCACCAGATTCCCAAAGGTCCGCTCAACGGTGGTTATGGATAAAATTCTAGCAGCTCTTTCTTCAGAATTCGGACCATAATTCAATGGGATTGTCTTCCTATCTACAGAAATGAATGATGGAAACGGTAATACATCTCGACATATTACGGTCCAGTCATGTGGCAACTAAATACATTCGAAATTTATACACAGAACAAGGAAGTATCAAGGTACCTTTGTGCAGACTCTCTTCAAGAAACGCCCCAGCAGAACCTAGGGAATCTTTCCGTACAAAGAAGAAAAGACTCATCCAACCGCGATCATTGGCCTTGTCCGCCCTCAAGATAAGTGCTTCGCGAGCATCTTTAACAACCAATGTGAACCGTCCAGCCCCAGAAGAGCGAAGATCATAAGTAAAGCCCAGATCTTCAAAGGTGAAAGGAATACTGTGTTTTTCACTCAATACTTCCAGTCCACGAAGAACCCTCCATACTTGTGGCATTATTTGAGAAGGGGAAACTTTGACAAAGGACAAGAAGTCTCTAGCTAGTGGAGAGAAAGGAAACTTCATACCAATTTTGAAGGGATACATGAAGAAATTGACCCAGCCATCGCAATGCCAGTCAACCCGCTCGTTAGCGGTCGGGAACCGGATAGACGCATGTGCAGGAAATCCGGAGCCGTTCTTGATAATGTCGACATGAGTTTCAGAGAGTCTGGCTTGCTTAGAGTTTTTTGGGTCACAGATATGTTGAGGGATAAACAACTGGGATTCCATGGCTTCTCACAGAGAGCTTCGGTAAGAGGTAGACGGAAGTTTGAATCTTCTTCATAGAAGAGGGATTTTGAAGGAGAAAGGATTAGTCTGACAGATGGTTGGATGCTCGATAAGAGAGAAGGCTGACGACTTTACAGGTTTCAAGGTGGCATCAGGATGTTTAAAATTCAAAGACGTAACTGACCTTTTGAATCAAAGTAGCGACGATTACTACTTCGAATTTTGGGGGCAATTGTTGGGCCTGGATTTGTCAGCGGGCCGACCCACGTTGCTGTAGGGATTTTGTGTTAGCATCAAAGGATGGCCAGTCCACATTATAGAGTCCGGTCAAATTAGTAATGCTACGGAATGGATAGGAATGTTGATGGCTGGTGGAGGAAGTCAAGGAATGAACTCCACATTAGTAGGGTGGCTGAGATTTCGCCGAGGGATTTGAGCCCACGTTGGGTGGTAGAGTTTGATGTAAATATAAATAGCTTAAAGAAGAAAGAAAAGGCATGATCAATTCTGATAAAACAGCCTACTATTAGCTCTTGTATTCACAATCAAATACCGAATATCAATATATATTTTTATCTATTTGTTCTTCAGTTAATTCCTTGCACGATTCCCTTTCCATATAATTTGATTGTTATTAGAATAGATAATTCTTGCTTAAATAGGCAACCAAGGTGAGGTGTTGTCCCCACCAGTAATGAGTCCGCGCCGCCGTGGTGAAGCAACCATAAACTCCTCGGTTGGAATCTCAGCCTTTGCCGCCTGGTTTCAAACTCCAGTGGTGTTCGTTGGCAGTCCCACCTTCACAGAACATATTAGGTGATGGTCTGCTTTCTCCTCGGTAGTAGCGCGATTAGCAAGCCAAAGCAGATAGAGGCTCCATCTCCGGCAGTCCCGTTCCTGGCATTGTCGTCGGCAATATTGCTGGATATCCCTTGGTTCGTGTTCGGCAGAGCGTTATCCCCTGAGACTCATAATCAAAGAGATAATCAACACCTTACATATATAGTGCTCGTCTCAGCCGAAGAAGAAGTCGGTAGCCCAACACAAGAAGACTTGGCTGGAAAAGTCCCAACCGGTGATAAGTCTCCAAAGACAGCAATCGGATGATATTGGGACAATAATAGGGATACAGTATGCATTTTATTTATATTTAATTAATTAATTTTAATTAGGGGCTATGTTTAGTAAAATATGGGCTGCATTTAGAATTACATTTATTCGTTTCACACTCATTAATTCAAACTACTTTAATACTCCCTCCGTTTTTGAAACAAGTTCCCCCTTTCCTTTTTGGGTAGTTCCCAAATTAAGTTCCCTTTTCCTTATTTGGCAAATTTACTACATCAAAACAGTGCAAAACAGTGTCAAACAATGTTCAAATAGTGCAAAACAGTGTCAAACAGTGTCCAAACAGTGCCCCAACAGTGTCAAAACAGTAAAGTTTACCCTTAGTAATTTTTTTCTTAATAACTGTGAAAAGCAATGGAGAACTTGTTTTAGAAACGGAGGGAGTAATAGCTAAGATTTATTACTATGTATACGTCGTACATTATGATGAGTTGGCTTTTAGTGTGCGAAATGGTAGAACAATATAAGGGAATAGGTACAAATATTAGGGGTGGACATAAAACCCGAACCGAATCGGTACCCAACCGTCCCGTAATGGTACCGAACCGAATACCGGGTATTTAAACGGTTCTATAGATTTTTATCCCGTACCGAAACTGTACCGTTTGAAACGGGTACGAGACCGGTCCTTTGAGAACCGAAAAATACCGGACCGAACCGTTCGAAAATAATGCATTTGATTTTTTTTATATATTTTTTCTATACCAATAGATCTTTTTTATAGACCAGCAATTTTATATCCCAAGTATGCATTCATGTGTCCCTAAGATATCTAAATGTGTGTGTTTATATATATTGTTATTTTTTCTTTTTAGATAATACGTAGTATATGTTATATTTTGGTATGTATTGAAAGAATATTAAAATTTTAGAAATCATTAATGACTATTCAATTCTAGTAATGTAGTGTACCTGACTTTTTGTTGTATCATGTTTGTGCAATTTTTACAACTTAATTAATATGGTTTAAATCTTAGCTCTCAAGGTTCAACTATAAATTAAATTAGAACTACGGAGTAATATTTAACCTAGAACAAAGAAGAAGAACGTTGAAGATTTCTATTACATTCAACAATTCGATGATATTCGTTTTTATATTTTCACATGAACTTAGTAAATTAAAAATGATATTTATCTCGTGCGTCATCGTTTTGCTATATTTTTTCTTAGTTGTTTTGCACTATTTGTGTATTTTTGAATTTTAGTATTACGTATGCAATTTCTTGTATTTATTTCAACATTTCATGTGAGTTGGTTGGTGTTATGATATCTACTAATCGCAAGACTTATTCAAAAAATTTTAGCATGTGTTTGGCATTGTACCGTACCGTTTTGTACCGTTCCGAAATAACATGGTACCGAACGGTTCTATCCTTGGAACTGGACCGTACTAGACCGTTAAAAACCTCACGGATACATTACGGATTTTATCAATTTACTAGACCGTTCCGGACCGCGCCCACGCTAACAAATATACCCTTGTAGTATGAGTGTCAGAGTGTGGGAACAAATAATACCCCTATTCTATTTTTCGGAACAAATATACCCCTAAAGTATATGTTCAAGTGCATATATACTCCTGAACTTTTAAAAGGTGCTAAAATATCCCTCATGTTCTTATAAAGGAGCAAATTTACCCTCACTACTACATTTTAAGGGCTAATGTAATAAAAAAAAAGTAACACTTGTCTAAAGTGTTACTCCCTCCGTTCCTAAATAAACTTCCAATTTTCCTTTTTCGTCCGTTCCAATTAAAACTTCCACTTTCCCTTTGTGGTAAGGAATTTGTGGTTCACAACATTTCTTACACATTTCTCTCTCCTCTGCACAACTATCCACCACACAATATCCAGTGTCTTAAACTTTGTGCCAAACCTATTTGGAAGTTAAAATGGGAACGGAGGTAGTACAAAAAATGAGTCTAATGCAACAGTTTTCAACAGGTTGTTACAACTATGCCAAAAGTGTTACATTTACTATAGTGCTAAAGTAACAATGGTATGCTATAGTCCTAATGTAACATGTGTTACAATTTTATATTGAAATAGAAATAAAAAGCGGGAAAAATGAACATCATATTTTCATTAAAATTTCAACTCATTTAAAATTAGGGCGCTTAAACGCCGGAGGAAAGAAAACCCTAGGCGGAAATCTAAAACCACATACCTGCAAACACTATCTCTTTAGCATCCAAGTTCAGATCGAGAAGAGCTACTACCCCTATGTTCTTTCCGCTCCTCTATATGATTTTCGCTGCTCCGCCACTTGGTTTTCGTTGCTCCGCCACGTCCATACAGGTTTTCCCTGCTTCATCACTTCTCTATCGGTTTTCCCAGCTCCTCTGGCAGCATTTCACGCTGCCGATGATGCAGAATACATCACATTGTTGCTCTATCATCTCCATTACCCACGATCGCATGATCTCGACTAAGACTTTCGTTCCACCTTACCCTATCTAGGTATAGTGGCTTCTCTTTCGAACTAAATATTTAACTATTTCATCACTGCAATTTGATTTATGTATATTTTCCTCCATGCTTTGTTTATTTACCTTTAACTTGGGATAAAGCATGAAGAAGTTCTACTTCTATGTTCTTAGTTTTTAATGCCTATTAACTGTTTGTAAAAAAGCCTCAGTCAAATTTTCAAATGAAATATTTAAATATGTTGTTTAGTTACCTTTAATCTATTAAAACAGAGACATTATACAGTATACTATTTCCCCTTGCTTTTTTTTTAATTAGGGTCCAACCATATGCTTAATAGTAGTGTTTGTTTGCTATTGATTATTCAGTATTGTTACTCTTGTTCATTTTGCGTACTTTAGTTGAAAAGATATCCAGTTTTGTTTTATTTTTCAGGAAAAAAATAGGGACTAAAGGCATACTCAACAGTACTCCTAAATGACTTTCAATTTTGAAGCAATAGAAAATGGCATGTGAATTAGTGAATTGGTCTTTACAATAGGAGAAAACCTATTACATTTGAAATTATAAGCTCACACTGTCTTGAACATCTTTTTATACAAATGATAAAATATAACATTTTTTCACTTTATTATTGTTGACTTGTTGTCATTTGAGCCTTTGAGGGGAAAATTCTTTCTGATCCATTAATATTTAATACTTCTACGAATGAGGTAATAAAATGGCACCCAAAGAAAACATAGAACACTTTTAGAAGGGAATGAAGAGAAATAATCAAAAAGATATAAAGAAGTCATAATTAAACAAATCACTTTTGTGTTTACACCAAAAAAACAAATTTTACCTATTATTCATTAATTGTAATAATTGAGATCTCATGAAATATACTATAAGTGTCAAAGTAAAATCTATATTATGCTTATCTTTATGCGTATTTTTTTTTGCTTCATATTTTGAACTACACACAACATCATGTATTCTCATTCCTTTCCCTGAATGTTATTAAAAGACAATAAGAAAAATCACGTGCATCCCACGAGTACTATACTAGTTTGATCTATTTGTACGTCATTGAATAATATTACTTTTCCCTTTTCAGGTAGAGATTTTTTTCACCTTGTAGGTGTAAAGGTACTTCAAAACATGTTCACCGGGACTGCTTATATCATTGGCGTGCTGTGAATTAAGGTTATCCTTGAATTCATCTCTTGCTCCGTAATAGCATCAATAATTGTGTTTCTTCTAGTTCCTACATCCAGTTCTTCTATATGAGAGTGCAATTATCTCTTTGATGTGCTGAATGAAGGCAAAACGTAATTCATAGTGTATTTCTGTTGATTATATGTAAGAGAATGTTCACATCTTGAGATCAGAGTGAATAAATACTAATTATGAATACAATATAAAATGTTCAGATTTTTTGTTTTTTTGTAGGAAGGATTTGCATTTACACATTGCCCAACGTGCAAGGATCCTTACCATTTGAGGGTCCATGGTATTGTTGCTATAGGAGATGGAGGACTCTAAAGGTGTGGTTGTTTGTTACTCGAGATATTCTATCTATTGATTCAGTCTCCATCTCTCATCACTATCCAATTATAAGTGATTAATATTTCGGCCTACCTGATATATTTGACTGACGTGTATCAAAAGTCTTGGCTTTTCCTCGTTTGAGGATTTGACAGTGACCTAAGTTTCTACTACATATGTGGTAAATGTTAACATACAGCATACTATTTTTGTCTTTCTTCACCTAGTTAAGTCCTCAAGAAATAGTTTAATTATTAGTTCATGCTTTACTGCTATTGTTACTATCATAGTTGGTTTATTTCACACTAGCACACAAGGTATTTCTATAAGAAATAATGGTTTCGTTTTTTCCATTTTATATTTTTATATTTATATCAGAATAGGAATTAATATTTGTTGAATTGTCAACCTATCAAATCTTTTTCTCGCATACTGACATGCTCTACTCTCATTGAACTACAGTCCTTCATGTCATAGTACTCTAGAACATGGAGTTATGGAGTTAATGTGGGTTAAATACTTTGTGTTTTCTGTTCTAGGATCTATTGTATGGAGAGCTAGGAACTTCTTGATATTAGTATGCAGCCAGCTAAAGATTCCTTCTTTTGGTAGACACATGAATTTGAATAACCTAACCAAACCAACATATCCAGCATGTCCTACTGAACCACTTGGTAGAAGGGCCTGGGGAGGCTGATATGTTCTAGATGACTCGGATTTCAGTTGAGGAATCTGGTATGTTTTAAAAGACACTATATATAAAGACATGTGGAATTTATCAAATTGTATGAGCATTCAAAAGGTTATATGACGTGCACTTGTCGTTAGGTGCACTCAAAATAAATAATCAATACGACACTAATACGTAGTATAGTGTAGTAAGGTTCGTATCCACAGGGAAAGGAATACTTTTCTTTTATATAAATAGTAACAAAAGGGGGGTTTAGATTTGTTTGCTTTAAAAACACTAAGATAAACAACCTATATGAGTTTAATTCAATGAGATGAGGACTTGGTTTTGCTTTTATCCACTTAATGAGATGTTCGTCGATCCCGGTTATATCTTTAACTATCTTCCTCTCGAATACTCAATCGAGGAGTATATCCAGTTCATCGAGGGTAGTTATTAATAACGAGATGCGTTCATTAATAAAACTTACTACCGAGTCAATATAGAACAAGCGTTGTATATTAACTTGATAGTAGCAATAAACTTAAGATGAAAACGATTGAGATTGATAACCTCAACACAAGCGGTTTGTCGGTTTAATCAATATAATTAATCCCCCTTGGCATATTAACCATGAGATGCATGCATTAATACTCCAAGTTTACTACCGTTGAAAGAACCGGATTAATAACAAGCGTATTAACCGATCGATTCTAGTAATAATTAATATGAGAAACAATACTAGGTGATACTTTAAGTAATGTTTAAGATATTAACATGAAATATGAATAGGAATTAATTAATACTCAAGGAAGAATATTAAAGAATATGAATCCTACTATGATTAATATCAAGATGTTAACTAATTGTCATCTTAGTAACACTCCCCAATATTAACATAGAGGAAGAAATAGCTATTACTATAACCAATGTCAAGATGTTAACTAATTGTCATCTTAGTAACACTCCCCAACTTTGATATAGAGATAGTATTTTGAATGAAAGAATTAATATTCAAGGAAGAAGATTAAAGAAAATAACTCACAACTTACAAATTCATTAAGCTTCAAAGTAGCAAAACCAAGATGGAAGAGTTTAGCTCCTCATTTGGAGACTAAACATGATGAAAAATATAAAGAAAGAACTATTCTATACTGAGCTTAGATGTATAAAGGAATTGGATGTCTTTTTGTGAAGGAAAGGAGGTGTATTTATAGGCTTTTGGGATGGGATTCGGGTACTCGATCGGGTATATACATGGTACCCGATCGAGTACGTGTGTAACAC